TTGAGCTGAAGTTGCACCACTGCACTCCAGCTTGGGCAACAAGAGTGAGACTCCATCATTTTTTTTTTTTGAGATGGAGTCTCGCTCTTGTTACCCAGGCTGGAGTGCAATGGTGCGATCTTGGCTCACCGCAACCTCCGCCTCCTGGGTTCAGGCAATTCTCCTGCCTCAGCCTCCCGAGTAGCCGGGACTACAGGCACGCGCCACCATGCCCAGCTAATTTTTTGTATTTTTAGTAGAGATGGGGTTTCACCATGTTGACCAGGATGGTCTCGATCTCTTGACCTCGTGATCCACCTGCCTCGGCCTCCCAAAGTGCTGGGATTACAGGCGTGAGCCACTGCGCCTGGCCGGAGACTCCATCTTAAAAACAAAACAAAACAAAACAAAAACAGAAATAAAGAAAGAAACGGAAAAAAACCTAGTTTAAATCTCACTGGCATCTGTACCCCAGCTCTCACACACTCATTTCTATCAGTAGAGGATTTGACCACAGGTTGCCAAGAAATGTCTGTATCAGACAGAATTCATAATCTGAGATAGAAGAAACATTAAACTCCGGAGGAAGAGGGGTCACACATCAACTTAACTATGATTTTCTGAGTGCCCAGAAAACTCCAGGCCCCAAAACAGAGAGGCTGCACAATGAATTGGCCCTCATCGAGTGAAGGTAGGATGAGAGGCATCCTGTGAGGAAGACCTTGCACCAGTGCAGGGTGCTGGCTACCCTCAGCTAACCCCTAGCTCACTTCAGCTGCTGGGCATGAGGAACCTGCTCAGATTTCTCACAGAAAAAAATGCAGAATTTGTTTCTCACGGAAAAAAATGTAGAGTTTGTTCCCCAGAGTTTGTTCCCACCACCTAGAAAGTGACCAGTGGTGAAAAGGCAACATACGAATGTTATGGACCAAAAGGATCCAAGGAGGGAAAAGAAAGGACTTCCGGTTGGTTGCTTTTTGGGCACTTTGAAGAGATCAGGCATTTGCTCTGGGCCTTAAAAAAAACACAGAGATTGAAGTGGTAGGGTGGGCAAGGAAGAGGGAGATTCAGAGAGGGCGAGTGTTGCCACGTATCCTGATAAGACAGGGATGTGGGGACAAACACAGAGTGTGTTCAGAGAATGGAAATGCAGTGAAAGTTTCATATAGTCCTGTTCATATGTTTCATTTGACTCATGTCTTACAGTTTCGAAATAATTTTGATAGTCTAATTTTATAATTAGGAGAGATGGAGAGAGATTATCTCTATATTTTACAGATGAGGAAACTGAGGCCCAGAGAGGGACAGTAACTTGCTAAGATCACACAGCAAGTGGAAAAAGCACAAGAACCCAGGCTTTCAGACTCAAATCCTGAGTTCTCTTTTTACCCGCCTTGAGTTTCATTTTCCCTACTGCCAAGGGTAGGGAAGCTGTCTGGGAGAGAAGGTTGGAATGGGACCCCAGGTCCAGACTGAGCAGAGATTTGAATGTGAGGCTGAAGGTAGGGGAGCTCAGAAGGCTCCTGGGTGGACCCAAGTGTTAGGGGGATCATTAGAGTTAGGGAGATCATTCCAGTGCAGAGGCACCATTTTCTCCATCTTCCTGGGCAGGACTGATAGGGAGGAAGCCCCAAGGGGAGGCTGGGGCAATAGTCTGGTCCCGGACTGTGAAATCACAACCTGATGCAGGGAAGGAAGACCCAGAAGACCAGGCAGGGAAGAAAAGGGCTGGCTCCGAGTTACTAAGAGCCTACAGGAGGCTTTGTGTTCTGCTGAGGATCACAGGGAATGTTCTACGTCTGAGAATGTGATACATCTTAAAATGAGATTCATCAAAAGCCATTACAATAAAAATGTTGGTACTTAAACATGACTTAGCTTTATTTCACTGATTTGGAGTATAGAACACCTAGTCATAATAAGCAGATTCTTATAGGCTTCAAAATAAAATAAGAATCCCTAAGGTTAAAAAAAAAAAAAGGTCAAAGATGTAAATGTAAATGGCAGTTTCATTGGTAAATCCTGACGGGGGAATTTCTCCTAAGCAAAAAGTTACTGATGTGCATAAAGATTTAGCTAATAGTGTTGCTTGTATTATGAAAAAATGGAAATAACCTAACTGTCCTACAACAGGGGATAATTGGGTAAATTTTTATTTATCCTTATGAAAGAATAATATACACCTATTACAAATGATATTGCATAAGTACATTTCATGACATGGAAAGATCCTCATTATGTCTACATATACATGTATATTGATACCTGTATCTGTGAATTAAAATTAAGTTTTTGTTTTAAAGCACTTTTTACAGTCTCCTGTTGCCTTTACAGGGTCACTGGTCAACTTCTCAGGCCATAAGGATGCAAACTTCCTTTCCCTAATCTCATCCTGAATTTTCCAGCGGGTTTTTCAGGTTCTCAGGGGCAGAACAAGCATCTATTTGCTGTACCAAGAAAGGATTCCAAAACTCAGGAGTCACTTGTTTTCTCTTATTCTTGCTCAGAAGTCTTGGTCCCTGTAGCAAGTCCCCACTCCCATTTGTCACTTAAAAGTACCCCAAACCCTATCTTTCCATTCCAGAGTGTCAGTGCCCTCCATTTTGCTTAACGCCCAGCTAGGCTCTTTCCTGTTTCTCCTACCTCCTTTCCTCTCCTAGCTCCTGCCCCACCCCATCTGGGAGACAGTTCTGCCCATTCCTGCTGGTATCCTGGGAACCAGGTTTGGCATTGGTCACAGCACCCAGATTCCAATGCACCAGAATGGGATTAACTCATGCATTTCCTCTATGGGAGGGAGGTAGTAGAGTGACTGACAGGTCGAATTTTGCATCAATGTGTCTACAGCCTGCAAAACGGGGTGCTGCCTTGGAGAGAGAGCTGGGGTGAAGGAAATGACATGCCTGGGAGAGAAACTTCCTTCTGAGTCAGCAGCTGTAGGGAGACAAAGGAAGGAGCCTCCTGGGCCAGAGTTTTGGATGGAAAATGAACAACCAACCAAGTCTCTAGAACTATAAGTTGGGGGTGGGGAGAGACTACTTGTGAGCAAGAGTTAAGTAGAGGCCCTTACCAAGGAGCATGGGACCTGGGCTCCCCAACCCTTTGACTACACTCACGGCGTTAACCAGCACTGAGCGAATTCCTCCATGCCACCCAGTAACCTCTCTGGGCCTGGGGACCCAGAGATGACACCAATGCTTCCATTAAGGAACTCCCATACTAGGGCCATAGCAAAGCTCTGGAGGCGGCCCAAGGCATGAGTGCTAGGAGGGATGGGGCCACCCCACTCCCACCCTCACTCAGCCATCTGCTCTGGGCTTCTTTGAACCCCTTCTCCTCCTCCGGTTCCCTAAGGCCAGCCAGGGGGAGTCCCAGGGAGGCAGACTGAAAAGGGGCGTGGTGTCGTCCTGGTCACTATTCGACCCTGGAACAGAGACTTTGAAAACTACTCAGCGTCTGTTGCCTGAGTGGAACATAGTGCTTTACAATCTCTTCCCATCACCGCAAACCATCAAGGTAGGGCCACTGTCATTTAATGGTTGAAAACCGGAGGTCCCGAGTTCCTTGGGGGCTGTGCCAGCAACGGCCAAGTTTGGATTTCCCTTTGTCCACCAGCCCCAGGCAGCACACGGGGCGGTAGGCTTTCTGCCTCCTTAACTTCCCCAGGGCAGGTGAGTGACCTGGAGGGAGGGGGCCGTCCCTAAAAACAGGGATAGTGCCAGGGCTGAAACCCTCCCTTCTTGATATCCCGCTGGCGAGCTTGAGGAGCCAGACTGCCAGTCGGGAGATTCGGCCCGGTGTTCCCGCTGGAGAGGGCGGCAAGTGCCCGGGCGATACCCTCACCTGCTTTCGGGAGATAGGCCCCCGCCCCCGCCCCTCCAGGAGGGTGAAAAGGGGCCAGCCCGCTGGGAGAAGGCAGAGTGAGGGGAAAGGCTGGGGCCGGGGGCGTTGCGCTGTCCGGGGCAGCCCTCCTCCGGGCGAGCTGGAGCTGGGTGCAGCGGGAGCGCGCGGGGCGGGCCCGCGGTGGCCCCGGGGCGGTGGCGCCGGGCCGGAGAGGGTGGGGCGGAGCAGCCGCCCTGTACTTCCCCTTCTCCTCCGCTAGCTCTACAACAGCCTGATTTCTCCGAAATGACGGCGCACAGCAGGCCAATGGGCGCCCGCGCGGCTGTCCGGGGGCGGGGCCGGCCGGGGCTGGGGAATCCCGCTAAGTGTTTAGACTGTTCCGCGGCGCCGCTGCCCTGGCAGAGCGCGCCACTCCTTCCTCTAGGCAGGACGTGCACTCGATCACCGACGAGCCGAGGCCACCCGGAGCCGTGCCCAGTCCACGCCGGCCGTGCCCGAGGGCCTTGAGACCCCAGCAGCCTCTGCCTTCTTCCCTCTTCCACCCGGAGTCCCGCGGCACGGCAGCCCCCGCGTCGCCGGGACCCTCGAGCGCCGCCGCCGGATCGCTCCTGCAGCAGAGGTGAGTCCGCCTTTGCGGCGCAGGGGATCGGCGGCGTCGAACAAAAGGCGCGCGGGGCACCAGGAAGTGGGGGCTCGAAAGCCCCAGGCTGGAGACTTGCTGGCGCGCGGCGTTGTCCGGGCCCCCGAGCGGGCTCCGGCGGGCGCCGTAGGAGCTGCGAGCGGCGGCGCGGGGAGGGCGGGCCGCGGCGTGGACCGCCCACCCGGACCAGGCTGCCGGCGCCCGGCAGCTTTCGCAGATCTGCGTGCGCGAAGCCGCCGGGGGCCTGTAGGTGGCCCGCTACGTTCGTCCCGCGCATCCACACGCCTTGCAGGGGACTGAGTGTCCGTCCACGCGTGGGTGCCCAGTGCTCCCGGCTTTTGGCGGTCCCAGCTCCGCGCCCAGGCACCAGGGTTTTGGACTCCCTGTGCTGGTGGCAAGGGCTGGCTTACTGCCCAGGTGGCTGGAGGGAGTCGTGACCTACGGAGATTGCAGGAAGAGGCGCCACAGGTGTTCCTTGGGCCACTTCTCCTGAGGAGGGGAAACCGAGCCGGAAGCGTTAGCGTCCCGGCCTCAGCGTTGCGGGCGCTGTGGCTGTCAGGAAGGCGTAGAATGGATTCACGGGGGCTGGAGGGGACTGTCCAGGGTTACGGCTAGCCGTTTGCTAGCTAGCGGTGACCACTCAAGTCAAGGGAATTTCTTCTTGGCGCCAAGCAAAAGAAGTCCTTCCCTTCCCAAAGGATTTAAATTTTGAGCAAAAAGTTCTGGAATTAGGATTTCTGTGCATTTTGTCCCTTTTCCTGCATATGAATTCTGAAGCCATCAACTTGCATGCTTGTCTCCTCCAGAGACTGGCTGGGAGGAGCTGAAGGAAGGGGCAGAAGCATTTTTGCCTAAGATACTGAAAAAATTTGGAGAGCAGATTTATTCCAGCGCAGCTACCCTCCTCGCTGAGTGTAGTACCTAGTAGCTGGCTCAGGGGAGGGGAAGGTAACTAAGTGACCTCGGGTGGGGCAGGTCAGTGTCCAGGTATTGTTCAACAGATTCCAGACTGGAGCCTTCTGTCTTCTCTTTACAGCCAACATGCCCATCACTCGGATGCGCATGAGACCCTGGCTAGAGATGCAGATTAATTCCAACCAAATCCCGGGGCTCATCTGGATTAATAAAGTGAGTGTAACTCTTTGGGTTTTCCTGCCACTGTTTTAACCCATGTACTTCCGGAGGGACCAAAGCTTCAGATGCAGCTCAAAAGGGGAAGTGATGAGGGGACAGGCAGATGTTTTTCCCAGTGGGTCCTGCATGCAGGGAGTGTGCAAGGCCCAGCCTGGGCCTTACTTGCACGACTTCTGTCTTCTTCCTTCCTGAGGTAGGGCACTCACCTGAAGGCACTTCCAGTTTCCAGCAGCACGACTTTCCTAGCATCAGCAGAGCTGGAGTTCTGATCTCCTCTGAGGGAAACCCTTACAAACATACACAGCATCCTTCAGGGCTCCAATCGAACACATAGAAGACTGTGAAGTGGGCACCGCTGGGCAGAAAGGTGGCTGGGTTAGCAGAGGACAAACGAATTAATCTTGTACCAGTCACTCTGGCCCAAGAAGCCTATAGCTGGTGTACTTGGGGCAACATAGACCCTATAGACTTAGTAGCAATTATAGCATTCATAATAATAACTAATGCCTAGTTATTATAGTGTGTGCCTGGCAGCTGCTAAGTATGTTACTTACATTGTGTCATTTAATCCTCGCAATAGTCCTGTGGGATAGAGCCTATTAATGTCATCATTTTCAGATAAGAAAACAGATACTGAGAGGTAGATCATAAGATCACACAAAAAGTGATGAAGCCAAGATTTGAATAGTTTGACTCAGAAATCCGTGCTGCTAGTCACCAGTGATAATCACAGTAAGAACTTAGACTTCATATTTGTCACTGTGTCCATACACATCCTCTGGTTTTTATCCTCAAAATTTTGTTGGATACGTTTTCTCATTTCAGAGAAGACAAAACTGAGGGGCAAAGAGATACAGTGACAATGCCAGGGTCACACAGTGCTCATCATCCAAGTCTAGCCCCGAGCTCCCTCAGTGGTATGACCAGGATCCCCTGTGTAGGAGCCTGTGGTCCCAGGTGTCCTGAGGAGTCCTTTCTAATGGAAGAAGTTCTTACTTCCATGTTGGTGCTTACAAGCCAGAGAGAAACATCCCAGAGCTTCAAAACTAGGGCTTCAGGGGAGGGTGCCTTCTGTGGGTCCTAGCACATCTGTAACAGGCAGAGGGAGGTCTTTGTGAGCTAATAGTACTGTAGCTCAGAACTAGGAATCCCTCCTGAGAGATCCAGAGTGGTCTATTTAAGTCTGTCTCAAGATAGGTCAGTCCAAGCCAGATGTTGGGGGAAAAGGGGAAGTCAGCCTTTTCTCACACCTGTCTGGCTAGGCAGGCCTAGGTCTCAGATTCAGCCCCAAAGTCTGTGGTCTCTGAGCTGACACAGCCTCGTGTTTATGTGTATGTTGTTCAGGAGGAGATGATCTTCCAGATCCCATGGAAGCATGCCGCCAAGCATGGCTGGGACATCAACAAGGATGCCTGTTTGTTCCGGAGCTGGGCTATTCACACAGGTGTGTACCTGGGACTCAGGCCTAGGAAGGCCAGGGTAGAGACAAGGGGAGGCACTAACGTTAACACGGAGGCTCTTCACTGGGGTGCCTGAGCTTCCTGAGACAGCACACAGAATTACTGGGAAGAGGGGCCAGTGGCAGACCTGCGGTTCTAGAGAAGAGTCCATCATTTCAGCAGATTCTCAAAGGGATTTATAAAGCCAAGATCTTAGAAAGTGTGTGACTTCAGGGAGTTTGTAGCTAGATCAAAGTTCTCCCTGCAATAGCCTCTGTGAAAAGCAGGTGTAAGCCAGGTCACTGAAAGAGACCCAGGCCCGCCTTTGCCATCATGTTGCCCAAGGCCCTTGGACTAAGGCTCATGTGGTTGGTGGCCTCCTTTATCCTTGAGAGATGGAGCTCTAGGCCCATCTCAGAACAGTCAGTCCACCTGTTGGTAACTGTTCTCTGCTACCCGATCTGTGCCCACTCCCATGTTTGGAAATATCAGGTAAGCCCCAGCCCCTACCCTCTGGCTGCTGATAGCCCAAGGAGGAAGACTGGGCATGGTCTGGGACATAGTACACTTTTGGGATATGAGGACTCTAGTACTTCTGGCTGGGCCCTTCACTGAGGCCCGCTGGATGTGTTTAAGCCAAGCCTAGGCATTTGAGAAGGCCCAGGGCCTAGGACCCATGGAGTGTCACTGGGAGTACCTGCTGGTTTGACCACTGTGGCTTTCTGGTAGCATGAGAGCTCAGGGATACTCTTGCCTTCTTCCTCCAGGCCAGGGGCAGCTGATGATCCCATGGCCCTGATGATCCTCTTTTTTTCTCCTGCCCTCTAGGCCGATACAAAGCAGGGGAAAAGGAGCCAGACCCCAAGACATGGAAGGCCAACTTTCGCTGTGCCATGAACTCCCTGCCAGATATTGAGGAGGTGAAGGACCAGAGCAGGAACAAGGGCAGCTCAGCTGTGCGGGTGTACCGGATGCTTCCACCTCTCAACAAGAACCAGAGAAAAGGTATCCAAAGACTCTGGGTCCTTGGGAAACCCTCAGGGAAGGAGGGTGGAAGAAGGTCAACTGGGGCTGGCGAGCGTGTACTAAGGCTGACAACCTATCTGCCCCACAGAAAGAAAGTCGAAGTCCAGCCGAGATGCTAAGAGCAAGGCTAAGAGGAAGGTGAGTGTGGTCCTAAGCAGCCAGGCCTTTGGTCACCCGTGGGTCAGGGTGAGCAGTGGAAGAAATGCTAATGTGGGCCTGGGCCTAAGCTGCTTTCTCCCTCCACAGTTATGTGGGGATTCCAGCCCTGATACCTTCTCTGATGGACTCAGCAGCTCCACTCTGCCTGATGATCACAGTAGCTATACAACTCCGGGCTACATGCAGGACTTGGAGGTGGAGCGGGCCCTGACTCCAGGTGAGCTGGTCCAGGTCTGGCAGGGGACCCCACAGATCAGTGGGATAGCTCTTTCTCTTGGGTCCTGGAGGCATGGTGCTGGCAGATGGTGGCCCGTTAGTGCAGGCTGCAGGGTGGGGGGTGCTGGATATCTTGCAAACTAAAAAAGCACACAGCCTTGACCCATGGCTTCTGCTGTCCCTCAGCACTGTCGTCGTGTGGTGTCAGCAGCACCCTCCCTGACTGGCACATCCCAGTGGAAGTTGTGCCGGACAGCACCAGTGATCTGTACAACTTCCAGGTGTCACCCATGCCCTCCACCTCTGAAGGTTGGTGCCCCTAGGGCCTGGCCTGCCTGCTTGACTGTCTGGGTCCTGGGCAGGGCTTCCTGAGGGAGAAAAGATGCTCAGAACTCCACCTGGCGCTGAGCTGATTGAGCCGGGCATTGCCCACTCTTATCCCCTGTGAGGGGCGGCAAGCAATGGGGACACTAGGAAGGCAGTTCAGAGTGGGCTGCAGTGCAGTGGGGGCTGGTGAGAGGCGGGAAGGGGGCCAAGGGCTGCATTTTGGGGTGCTGGTTCTCCTTCCTCCTCTGCAGCCTAGCATCTGAGGGTGAGGAAGGAAGTGGGGTGGGGGTGGGAAGAGGCGTGGCTTCAGGGTTTGAGAGGCTGAGTCACCAGACCAGCGTCCTGTTCTGGAATCTGGAGTGTGTGTGTGTGTGTGTGTGTGTGTGTGTGTGTGTGTGTGTGTCAGAGGGAGACAGAAAGGGCACGGGGATCTGGTGGGCTGGAACTACAACTGTAGGGTGAGTGTAGCTGACTGGCAGCCAATGTCTCTGCTTTCCCCATCCACAGCTGCAACAGATGAGGATGAGGAAGGGAAATTACCTGAGGACATCATGAAGGTAAAACTCCTTCCTATCTGGGCACTCTTGAAGTGGCTGTTTCTCAGTGAGGAGAGAGAACCAGTGGAGCTTCCAAATCAGAATATGGGCAGCTGCTATTGGCACCTGGCTGCTTGCATCATCCCACAAGTGCCACCTTCATGTGGCTTGACTGATGGGAAAGTCACCATGGGTAGGGAAGGCAGGTGGGAGGCCTGGCTTCCAACAGGCAATCCTGAAGCAAGCCTTGGAGCATCAGACAGCTCTGTGAGTCAGGCACTACCAGCAATGGGTCCCTGGCCTGCATCCTCTGCCCCAACATGCCCCAGCCCTGCTTGGGAATGCACATCAGTTTGGGAATTGCACATCAGGTTTCAATAATCAGTCTTTAGGATCTATAATATGATGGCTTTAAAGAAAAATTTAGCAAATTATCCTCCAGGTATTTTTTCTGCTTCAGTTTTAAAAGTGAATATAAAAGGCCAGGCGTGGTGGCTCATGCCTGTAATCCTAGCACTTTGGGAGGCTGAGGTGGGTGGATCACTGGAGGTCAGGAGTTCGAGACCAGCCTGGCCAACATGGTGAAATCTCATCTCTACTAAAAATACAAAAATTATTTACAGCATGCAGTATTAGAAAATAAAAAAAAGAAAAATATATTATCCAGACGTAGTGGCAGGTTGCCTGTAATCCCAGCTATTAAAGAGGCTGAGGCAGGAGAATTGCTTGAACCTGGGAGGTGGAGGTTGCAGTGAGCTAAGATCACATCATTGCACTCTAGCCTGAGTGACAAGAGTGAGAGTTGGTCTCAAAAAAAAAAAAAAAGTGAATATAAAAAAGTTTTTGCAGCTGGGCACCGTGGCTCATGCTTGTAATCCCAGCACTTTGGGAGGCTGAGGCAGGTGGATCACCTGAGGTCAGGAGTTCAAGACCAGTCTGACTAACATGGTGAAAACCTGTGTCTACTAAAAGTGTAAAAATTAGCCAGGTCTGGTGGCATGCATCTGTAATCTTAGCTACTTGGGAGGCTGAGGCAAGAGAATCGCTTGAACCTGGGAGGTGGAGGTTGCAGTGAGCTGATTATGTCATTGCACTCCAGCCTGGGCAACAGAGCAAAACTCTGTCTTAAAAAAAAAAAAAAAAAGTTTGCAGTAGTTGTACCCCAGCTTTGTTCCATCAGCCCAGAAAATTGAGACATGGGCAAAATTCCTTATCTCCAGCTTTTCTAGCCATCTTTTCTTGACTTGTTATGATAACCTTTGTTTTAAGCCACGTTCCCTGTTGCTATGTCCTTACACAGATGAGAGGGAAGTCGTGGAGATACTGTGCCAGAGAGTGGCCATGGGAGGGGTGGGAAAATGAATTGAGGCCCATTGCCAACATGTGTTTCTTCCTCCTCCCTCCTGGGCTCTGTCCTGACTGCAGTGCACGTCTGCATCCCATCTGAGAATGTGAAATGGCCAAGGGTGTGATCCTGACTGAGAGGAGCTGGCTCATTGAGGGCAGGGCCACAGGATGAGTCTGCACTGGAAGGGAGTTGATGGCTTCTTGCTCTTCTGTCCCCAGCTCTTGGAGCAGTCGGAGTGGCAGCCGACAAACGTGGATGGGAAGGGGTACCTACTCAATGAACCTGGAGTCCAGCCCACCTCTGTCTATGGAGACTTTAGCTGCAAGGAGGAGCCAGAAGTTGACAGCCCAGGGGGTAAGAAGGCCCTGGATCCTTATGGCTTCTTATAGGAGGGAGAACCAGGTAGGGACGGGGAAGGCTTGGGGGCAGGGACAGGGAGCAGTGCAGTAAAGCAATTGGGGTGCTGACACATTGTGAATTAGCTGCTGCTGCCATGTCTTAAGGTGTGCATGAAGCTGAGTGGATGTTTGCTGCTGTGGTGTGAAGAGCAGAGGCCATGTCTGTGGCCTAGGGGAAAGCACACCTTGTACCCCCATCCCCCGCCCTCACAACCTCTTTGAATCTTCTAGGCGATATTGGGCTGAGTCTACAGCGCGTCTTCACAGATCTGAAGAACATGGATACCACCTGGCTGGACAGCCTGTTTACTCCAGTCCGGTTGCCCTCCATCCAGGCTATTCCCTGTGCACCGTAGCGGGGCCCCTGAACCCCTTACTCCCCTAGGCAAGCAGGTCCTGGCATCATGGTGGATATGGTGCAGAGAAGCTGGACTTCTGTGGGCCCCTCAACAGCCAAGTGTGACCCCACTGCAAAGTGGGGATGTGACCTCCCTCCTTGGATCAGTGGCCTCTCAGGACCTGGTTGGCCAGCGTCTGAGTTTGTCTTGTGGGGTAAAGCTGGCCCTGCCTCCTGGGAAGATGAGGTTCTGAGACTGGCATGTCAGGTCGGGGACTTGGACAGGAGTCAGTGTCTGGCTTTTTCCTCTGAGCCGATCTGCCTGGAGAGGGTCTTGCTGTCATTGGCTGGCCCCTAGGGGAACAGACCAGTGACCCCAGAAAAGCACCATTCCCAGGGCTGGCTCTGCACTAAGAGATAGTTGCACTAAGTAAATCTCGTTCCCAAAGAATTACCCCTTTTTCAGCTGAGCCCTGGGGACTGTTCCAAAGCCAGTAAAATGTGAAGGAAAGTGGAGTCCTTCGGGGCGGTGTTCCTCAGCCTCAGAGGAGCTCTACACTGCTCCCTGCTTTGGCCGAGGGGCTTGGGAGAAAACTTGGCACTTTTTCTTGTGGATCTTGCCACATTTCTGATTAGAGATGTACACTAACATTTCCCCCGAGCTCTTGGACTTTGCATTTATTTATACAGTGCCTTGCTTGGCGCCCACCACCCCCTCAAGCCCCAGAAGCCCTCAGCAGGCCCAGGGAGGGAAGTGAGTGTGCCTTGGTATGACTTAAAATTGGAAATGTCATCTAACCATTAAGTCATGTGTGAACACATAAGGACGTGTGTAAATATGTACATTTGTCTTTTTATAAAAAGTAAATTGTTCATTGGGGTGTGGCCTTTTATTTAGAGAGAAATTTAATTTGAAGATGATTTTACTTTTTATGGAAACAGTCTGATGAATTCGTTATTGGCGTCTCGCCTGAACCTGACTTTTGGGTGAACAGGGACATGCATTTATTATCTATTATAAAATCCTTTTGGCTTGGCGAGATGGCTCACGCCTGTAATCCCAGCACTTTGGGAGGCCGAGATGGGTGGATCACCTGAGGTCAGGAGTTCAAGACCAGCCTGGCCAACATGGTGAGGCCCCTTCTCTACTAAAAATATAAAAATTAGCAGGGCATGGTCACAGGTGCGTGTAATCCTAGTTACTAGGGAGGCTGAGAGGCACAAGAATCACTTGAACCCAGGAGATGTAGGTTGCAGTGAGCCGAGACTGTGCTGTTGCACTCCAGTCTGGGCAACAAGAGCGAAACTCTGTCTCAAAAAAAAAAAAAAAATAGTTTCATTTGGCCAGGCACGGTAGCTCACACCTGTAATCCCAGCACTTTGGGAGGCTGAAGTGGGAGGATCACCTGAGGTCAGCAGTTTGAGACCAGCCTGGCCAACATGGTGAAACCGTGTCTCTACTAAAAATACAAAAATTAACCAGCCTGATGGCAGGCGCCTGTAATCCCAGCTACTCAGGAGGCTGAGGCACGAGAATCACTTGAACCGGGGAGGTGGAGGTTGCAGTGAGCCGAGACTGTGCCACTGCACTCCAGCCTGGGGAACAAAAGTGAGACATCGTCTTAAAAAATTCTTTTGTTTATGTTCACATAGACGATGGCAGAAGATGGGGACAGTCATGTCACAGTAGCATGTTCATGTAAACATAGTCACCTGTCCTTGACTTTACAGCCATGGCTGTCAGTGGATTCTGGGCTCCTGGGGCCTAAGGAGTGTTAGGTTTGGGGGAATGTGCCATAGGTGATGTGTCCTGGTAACATGCAGATGCTGCTCCAAAAAGTTAGTTGATATAGTCACAGACAAATCAGAACAGTCACCAGCACAAGAAAGGTCCCCACAGCTGCTGTGCTGGGCAGCACTTGCTGCTCCAGTTTCTAGAGTGATGGAAATGCTCTGTCTGTACTGGTCAATACAGTAGGCACTGGCACTAGCCACCTGTGCCAACTAAGCACCTGACATGTAGCCAGTGCAATGAGGAATTGAAGTTTTAATTTCATTTAATAAACTATGTAAATAGTCACATGTGGTCAGTGGTTGCCAGACTGAACAGTACAGGTAGATACTGGACTGGGGGCAGATCTGAGGGAGAGGGTTTGAGTAGCTGGAGGACACGGGTTAGGGACCTGGGGCTATTTACCTGCCATTTCGAGTAGTTTGCTATTTTAATAGCCAACAATAACTATTGGTGCTGAATACCGGACCTGCAGTGTAGTATGAGAGAGGTCCATGCATATGTCTTAGGAAAACTGACCTTACATGAAGCAGGATTCTTTCCTCTGCATCTTTTCAGGATTCTGCATGGCTGATGCACACAATCTCTATGCAGGGCTATATTTGATCAGAACAGTATTTCTGAAGACCATAGTTTGGGAACCCCTGACATATGACAGTGCCCCCTTCAGATAAGCCCAAGTCACAGGAATGTCTGAGGATGGAAGGTCTAGATATGTGCTTTCCCTGTCTCCCTCTTAAGGGTCTGGCCATGGGGCATAAATACTACCCAGTAGTAGATAGGCTGGCCAAGAGAAGCCAGCCTGCATCACCAACATCGTCTAGGGGATGAAATCATGGCAGTACTGTGTTGCTCAGGAAACAAAAGCCCTATAGACACATCTTCCACATTCTCAGTCCCAGAAACCATATGGACTGTGACTTCACTGACGAGGCACAGCCCTCTGGAAGAGTGTGGGCCCTTGAAAAGGGAAGATTGAGTGAGAAAATGATGAGAAAACTACAAAATGGGCAGAGGTCAGTCTGACACATTGATTCTCTGTCAAGCTCGGGAAGTGTTAGTCCCTGAATATTCTATATGTGATGCCTGACAGGCCCTGCTTGTCAGAAGCTCCCCTTGGGCTGAGTGTGGTGGCTCACACCTGCCATCTTGGCACTTTGGGAGGACAAGGAGGGTGGATTGTCTGAGCTCAGGAATTTGAGATAAGGCTGGGCAACATGGTAAAACCCCATCTCTACTAAAATACAAAAAACTAACCAGGCGTGGTGGTACACGCCTGTAATTCCAGCTACTAGGGAGGCTGAGACAGAAGAATCGCTTCAACCCAAGAGGTGGAGGTTGCAGTGAGTCAAGATTGTGTCACTGCACTCCAGCCTGGGCAGGAAAGTGAGACTCTGTCTCAAAAAAAAAAAAAAAAAAAAAAAAAGCTCCACTGTTCCACTTGGTTTTCTCAAGAATAGCTTCACCTGGTAACAGAGGGATAGACAGGATGGCCTTTTCCAGCTCCTTCAGGGATCAGCCCTTTTTAAGAAGATTTGGATTCAGGTGGCTGGCCTCCTGTGGCTTCCATCTGGGGTCTCCTACTGGGTGATGGCAGGTGGTGGTGTGGAGCAAGGTAGAGTGGACTGATGGGAGGAAACAGCCACCACCCAGAACAAGCAGCAGCTCTGACTTCTCTTTCTCCTATCCTTCAATCTAATCCCTGATGGAAGGTAGGCAGTGGGTATGTGAAGGTAGGCAGCTGTGGAAATCACTCAAGTTCTAAAAGCAAAGTCCATTGCTTGTAAATTACCAAAACGTGAGAGGAATCATGTCCATCAGCTTCCAATCTCCACAACCAAGATGGAGTCCTGAACTTCCCCATCCCCTCTGATCCCAGGAGTCCTAAATGATTGGTAGCAACTTCTTGGAATGTCCAGGGAGGGACCGCAAAACTTTCCCCAGCCTGGAGTAGTGTGGGATAGAACCAAACCTTTCAGGATGGAGAGCTGTCTATGACATCCTACCAAGACCTCAGCCTTTTCCTAGGAAAAGAAACTAAATAAGGTCTGATAGCTTGCCTAAAGGTGACAGCAGCTGACACTACCAAGTCATTAGCCAAACACTGCCTGAAACAGAGCAGTATCAGGAAGATCTGAGCCCAGTTTGTGCTTAATAAACAGATCATTCTAAGGACCTGACAATGCTTCTTGAGTCATTCTCAAGAGTTTCAGTGTAAGCACTAATGGTGGAAGTTCTAGGTTGAGGGAGCTAGGAGGTTGTTGAAAGATCTGTTTTGTTGGGGTTGTGATGATACCATTGTCATCAAGGATCACTTTCCACTGGGGTAAACTGACAAAGTGGGGCTCAGCCACACAGCTAGATTTTCTATGTTGGGCCAAGTTTACAGACATTCAAGGCATTCGTGGTTAATCATGGGTTTCCTTGCCTTAACTCCAAAGGTGTCACTTTCATTGGGCTGGTTTATTCATTCAGCTCACTTGGCAACAGAAAGAAAGCTAGAAGCTAATATGCAAACCACCCCTTCTTGGTGTATCAGCTTTCAACATCTTTCAGTGCACTGTATGCAGGGTGCTGTGACCACTACAACTCTGAAGGTAAGAGCTTTCTCTGATTTTTCTGGAAGTCTCCAGTGGGGCCTGCCAAAAGAGGGAATTGAAATCCTGCGGCATCCTTGGGAGGTAGAGTTCTTTTCTCTAGGAGTGATACCTCCTGGTTGGTGAGGCTGGGAAGCAACCAGGTTGTCATTCTCTGGAATTATTTGGTCTTTCACACTGTGCACAGATCCAAAAATCTGCCCAAGTATAACTTGGAGGGAAAAGGGGGTAGAGATGTCCTCCAGGCATCACCCGGGCGAATACAGTGACCCTACAGGAAGCTTTTGTCTCTGTCAGATGTAATGCTATTCCTTAACTTGGGCACAACTAGTCCTCTAATTCATTAGACTCAGCACTAACCTTTCCCTAGTTCTGCCAGCTGTTACAGAGGAAGGAGGCCTGCGATGGGAGAAGGGCTGAGGCAGTGCCCTCTTTTTCCAGGGGTGAAAGTACTTGGCAGGGTAGAGCTTGGTTTTATCATCTGGAGCTCCCTTGTGGAGCCAAGTCTAAGGCAGCAGAAGGGTACTGCTGGCTGGCCACTTGGTTTTCCTAGCTCCAGGCAGCTCTCAAGAGACCCATTTATGCTGGTTTTCTGGGGGTGAGGAGTTACAGAAGCCCACCTCTGCTGGCTCAGTGGTAAGACACAGGCCTGCAGAGTCTGTGCTGAGTGAAACTTCAACTGGGGAGATACTGGAGGCTATGGAGCAAGGACATGGTGACTGAATGAAAGAGGAGAGGCAGACATCCAGCCCGCCATTCCTCACCAAGATGATGATGAGCAGAATTGGAAAAGATCTTAAAGTCTGGCTGGATAACGCCAACACAGGCCTCGAGTGCTCACTTTGTGCTGGGTGCTATGCCGAGCACCCCATGTGCACCCTGGGACTGGCACCCCACCATGGCCCTTGTTCACAGACCAGGAAACTAACTCTCACCACCTAATCAGTATGGAGCCTTGGTTCCAACACATACCTGTGCCCAGAATCCAGGCTGGCTCCACATCAGGCTGCCTGAGAGAAAAAAACTGAGGCCTGTACAAGAAGCTGGGGAGAACTAGCAAGGGCCAGGGCCCCAGCGTCTTAAGCCAAGCAAGCACTTGTGGACACTGAGGGAAGGCGGCAAAAGCTGCAGCTGCTGTGCTGCCCTTGCCTTCAGCTCCCCTCCCTTCCCCCCAGCACACACACCCTCCGACACCCCAGGCAACATGGCTCTGCTGCTATAGGCTCCAGGGCCCCAACGGGGTAGGGTTTGGCTTGGTCCTCCAGGGAAGCGATGCCCCACCTATGCCTTGGAGGCCACCTGCAGTTTCAAAGGGTGGGGCTCCAGGGGGTTGGGACACAGAAAGGATTGTAACTTGACCTCAGTGCAGGGGGCAGCCCAGTCACCAGCCTGTTTGGAGCAAACAGGGGACTCTGGCCTGTGAGGCCTTATCTCAGCTCCCAGGATCAAAGAGGACTTTTCAGCCATGTTTCTATCTGAGCAACACAACC